TTTTGCCGAGGCTGCGAACCGCCGCGATGCACCACTGTGACGCTCTTCCGAGCGTGAGCACGACCGGTACAAGTAGTGAGGATTTAGGAAATAGAAGATAGAAGTGGGGCACCAGTAATGGCCTGCGGCCGCATTCAGGTCGGCCTCCGGATTTGGCTGGTGGACATAATAATATGTTAAACCACCAGTACTTGGCCCAGCTATCGACGCCGAGCCTGGAATGCCCCTGCGCGCCATTTTTTGCCGAAGCGCCGGGGTGCCGTTTTGATTTTTTTTTGGCTGGCGCTTCCAGCCATTGTGGTACGGTACCCCGAAGCCCTAAAGGCGTGGTGCGTTAACGGGGAAGCGCCGTGGCCGATACCTGGGCCAAGTACTGGTGGTTAAACTTTAAAGGGCCCGTACCATGTCAGCGCGGTAGCGCCGTTAGTTTTGGACTCCTCTCCCCATGCCAACCCTCCCCCAACCCTCCAAACTTTGTGAAATGTTACATTTTCAATTCTCGGCTTTGCCTTGGAAAGGTAGTCACTGTGGTGGTTTAAAGTTTAAACCACCAGTCTGAGACTGAGTACCTTTGGAGAAGCATTTTCTGACCCTGCAAACGACCTGGGCAGTGGGCGTCAAAAAAAAAAACGAACCTGCAAGGCCGGCCTTCTTTTGGCTGGCGCCGTGGCCCAACCCCCAAACTTCACTCCCGGCCGCATCGGAGGAAATTGACTGGGTGACGTAATGATTCAAGTTGTGTTTCAATCCCCTTGGGAATCCTTCACCATCCTGAGTTTTACAGAGGCCTTACATTGTCAATTGTTTTTTCTTTCCTAGTTAAAAACCGAAAAAAAGTAATAAAGACTTTGAAATTTAGAGTCAATATCAATATTCACACCCATCGCAACCATTGGCCTGACCTACTATCTCTTATGTGCTCCAAGACACATGTTAAACCACCAGTACTTGGCCCAGCTATCGGCCGTGGAAAAAAATAGAGTAGAAATGTTTCTAGTTGGATGAATTTGGGCGCTCCTGTAGTGGCCCGTACGTTTCCTAAAACCGCGTAGCGTTAATGGGCACGACTTTAGGAAGTACTGGTGGTTTAACTGGTCAAGAAAGGATAACATTGCGTGTCCAAAGCAAGGACGAGGCCTGTGCAGACTGCGGGTTATATGTTCTTGCTTAGGACATGTCTGTCATTGCTTCGCCTGTGATAACTGTGGGTTATATGTTTCTGCTTTGGCCACACTTTTGGGCACTCTCTCTTTGCTTGGCCCTTACCAAATGTGGGTTAAAAAATGTTCTTGTTTTGGAAGCGCGCTTTCGGGCACTTCTCTCATTGCTTAGCCTATTCGGAATGTGGGTTATTTCTTCTCGCTTGGGACGACGGACTTCCAGAAATGTCTCTCATCAGGTCATGCTCAAAGCAAAATAAAAGAAAGGTTTAGCCAGGGCCCAAGGGCCTACTATTCTCATCAAGCTGCCAGTAGTGTGGGGCTGGGCGAACAGTTGGCAGTCATTTGCTAAGAGCCTAAGGGCATCGCCGCACGGCACACGAAACGGAAACGAAAACGAAACGAGTGCATCTTCCCGCAGAAAATGGCCAGGTTCATCGGTTTGCTATAAATAGTAACGAGTGACACTGTATGTTGCCACATTCTGTGGGCAGATGTACTCGTTTCGTTTTCATTTCGTGTTCTGTGTGGCAATGCCCTAAGACACAAGAGATGGGGCCACCAGTGACAAACTTTAGTACACTAAAAATGAAATAAAAAATAAAAAACTTCAGTACACGTACAGGGACAGGGGCCCCAATTTCCAGCAGGTGCTGCTCCCCACCAATAGATGGAGCCTGCAACAGTGGGGACCACTTAACCGGAACTGCTCTTATGTGAGTCATATCACCTCGGCAAGCGACACCCGGGAATGGAAGTTTTTTCATTTAAGAAATTTAAAGAAAAAAGAAAAAAAAAAACAAAGACACAAGAGTTGGATTAAGGAGGTCATGGGTTCAGGTCTGCTTTGTCCCGGCGTCTGCTGTGTGTCCTTCCATCTGCAGATAACACATTGACTACGCCAAGTTGAACACTAGTAGCCAACACTGCTGGCCATTGCTAGCCAAACAATGTTGGGCATTGCTACCCGATACCATCGCTGCGGTGGATGCTCATATCACCCCCACTAGCTCACCCGGTGGATGTTTGAAAAAAGAACACAAAACAAAAAAACTATCACTGTTTGAATTGCAATGGTTCGGAGGGGACCAACATTTGTCATGTATAGCACGATGCAGCCACAAGTTGATGCAGGTAAGGAAGAGCAAAGAAAGGGAGGGCAGAATGGCTCTGATGCCCTCCCGAGGGTTCTGTGCTACCGGTCGCATGTGGCCCCATCTTTCGGAAGTACTGGTGGTTTGGGGTCTGATTCCCACAATACTTAGGGCATGTAGCTGACGAATTTCGACGAACTGACTTCAAAGGGCATCAATCATTGACGACGTCATACCATAGAACGACTCAGGCAGAAAAGAACAGGAGGGCGAAGAAAGAAAGAAAGAAAGAAAGAGGAAGAAGAAAAGAAGAAGAAGAGGAGGAAGAAGGGAGAAAGAAAGAAAGAAAAAGGAAAAGATAGAATACGCAAATACTTGAAACCTGGACGCGACGTTGAAAAATATATATAACGATACGAACAGCGGCATGGACCCGACTAGTTTCGGCTGGCCCGCCAACCAGCCTTCTTCAGGGGTCTTTGGTCGTCGTCGCAAGTGCAACGAGATCGAAGCAACTTGCGCATTTATAGTTTGAGGAAAATGGAGGTACGACCCACCACAAGACACCGCTATCATCAACGCAATCATCACGTCCACTCAGGGTCTGACCCCACCACTACACTACAGCCCAGTTACAGTGTCGTTTTCAGATCCCACCACTTTCCGACGTCGTCGCAGCCGCTGAAATATTTTGCCTTACTTTCGTTTGGGTGTGTCGTGGCAGCATGTCCGCGAAGGGTGCAAACGTAGTAACTACAATTTTTCTGTAGACCGTGAGAGCTTCTCTGCACCGAAAAAGAGGGAGCAATTTTTTTATTTATTTTTTTCTCGCTTGTCCGTTTGCAGCATCAGGAATGCCCGTTTGCCCCCAAGCGCGCGACAACCCGTACCACGAAAACGTCCACCCTCTGCAACAGCCCACAAAGAACAACCACCGAAGAAGTCGCCCTCGTGGAATCCAGTTACTCTTTTTTGCCCCGCCACGGCCGCTGACATCTTTGTAGTGCTTTTTCGTGACTGTAGCCCACAAAGAACCGCCGCGGGTCCAGGACAACCACCGAAGAAGTCGCCCTCGTGGGATCCAGTTTCTCTTTTTCGCCCCGCCACGGCCGCTGACATCTTTGTAGTGCTTTTTTGCGACTACAGTCGTAGTGTAGTGGTGGGATCAGACCCTTAGGGCATGGCCACACCACTCTCGAAATGTGCAAAATGAGAATGAACTTCCCGCTAGAACATGACCAAATGCACCCGCCACATTTTTGTCTTTTTCACATTTCAAGAGTGGTGTGGCGAGGCCCTTACCGTAAGTAAAAAGGAGTCTTTGAAGGGATCCCACCGGTTTCCGCAGATGTCGGGAGCTCTGCCAGAGATGGAGCGTTGTGGAAACGTTTGATGTCGGGTAACTTGGGGAGCACACAGCGGCAATAAAGATTTGAGGAATTTTGGAATCGAAGTCGACCCGTACCCTCTCCCCAGAAAGAAGGTGCATGACAAGCTTCGGATCTGTGGCGTTAATTTTGCGTTCGCAAAATTAGCGCTAGGGTTAGGAAGCAAGAGTCGGGCCTACGTGAGATGGCGGAGGTTAGTGGTAGGGTTCGCTTTCGTAATCACCGTGTGTTCCCTGTGCAATATCAGGGAAAGGGGGATTCTGCCTCCGCACGTACCGATTAGAACTAGAGTACCAATTAGTCAACAGGGCGACTACGGGTGATACTTCAGGTGAGCGGCAGACGAAGGTGCGAAGAAACCCAAGGGTGACTCGCACTTCTACAAAGCACGTCTTCAGTAAATGGAAGACTGGTGAGACAGATCCTACTATTATGGAAGGTATACCCAGCTCTCAATAATGGGTGGGGGGGGGGTGCTCTTCTCAATGTGTGTTGCCCGGTTGTTTTTTCTATCTGATGCCTCAACAGCTGGCAGTGCAATAGTGCAAGTAGATTCGGAGGTAATACGTGGGAGGCGGAGGTAGTACGTGGTTGGTTTGGCCGTCCTCCCACTAACAATTCAATACGATATAACTTGTTGTGTTTTTTCTTATTTAAGTGTTGACGTCTTGGTGTTAGGAAGGAAAAGGGACAAGATTGAGAAATGGGGGATTCAAGTGGTCCCTCCTCTTCGAACCCTCCTCCCGCTCCCCCTCCCCCTCCACCGGTCAACCCTGATGCCCCTTTGGCGGAATCCGATAAACAGAGAATTCGAGGAATCCTCAAATCCTGCTACTCCGATGGTATTCTTCCTAAACGTTTATCTCGGAATACAGTCGAGGTCGGGGACAATTTCGTCCGAGTAATTATTAACCCGGAGGTATACAAGCTCCAAGTGGAATGGCTCAAAGAGCATGCCATAACTATTTTATTTGGGGACGAGTCAACATCACTTCCAGTGGATGTTAAGAAACGACTTGTGCGGATCTACGAGGACGGATGGGCACCAATCGTTCGATCAACGTCCCTCCAAAGCGCGGCTTATTCCATAACGAATGTCGTAATTTGGTAACCTATGTTTCTTCTTCTAACCAAATTGTGACATACATGCTGAGGAAGAAACAAGAAAAAATAGTGCTAGATGGTAAAACCTATTCGATTACGTTTCGTCCCTGGATGTCGGACTATGAGCTGTATGAGTGGAGGGAGGCCATGCATTTTCAGTCTTTTTGGATCAGGTGTTTACAAGTCTCAATCTCTGCTCTTCCTCAACTGGAGACAGCTGTGGAAAACGCATTTGGTCTGGTTTTGAAGTCTCGTCAGGCGTTCAAGGAACCAGGTAAGCCGGAATTAATGAATATTCGGTTTGACTTGGTCTCATCAGCGAGAATGAGATACAAACCATGTCTGATGCTTGACCATCAGAACAATGGTTATGCCGCGATTGAGGTAATATGTGCCGATACCCCATGGTGTGAAAATTGCAGAAGATACTTCCACAAATCAAAAGACTGCCCCTCAAAACATCAAACTGACTCTGCAGCGGCTAATGGATCCAATGGGGATCTGCCCCGAAACAAGAACCAGCAAGCAGACAAAGCCGAGAAGAGAAAAGCCCCTGAAGGGAAGGATAAGGGCAGGAAAACGCAAGGGGATCCGAGGCAGCAGGAGAAAGAGAAAGGGAGGGTTCAGGATAGGGAAGCCAGAAATAAACCACCACACCCAAATCCCTCCCATGAACAGGGTGGGGGAAGGGTTGTGGTGGTTTGGAAAAAGAAGGACCCAAACCCCTCAGAAAGAAGTGACGAGATCCGTACCCCCCTGGAGAAGGGAAATAGTGGGCTGAACTCTGATGGGAAGGACAAGGGTGCGAAGCATATTGAGAAAGCAGAGTTGCATGAAAGGAAGAAGGCACCCTCAGGAGATCACCCACAGGGCAAGGGGGATAAGGACGTAGAAATGATCAGTGAAGATGAGAATCGTAACGAAATAAAGGAACGGGTGACAGAGGGGGAGACAGAGGATGGGAAAGGAAACGAAGACCTTGAGGAAACGGAAGATTCGGAGGAAGAAGATGGAAAGAGTGAGGAGGAGGAGGAGGAAGAAACGGAGGAGGAGGATGACGAGGACAAAGAGTTTGTGGACGAAGAAGAGGAAGAAGAGGAGGACTCCGAGGATGAAGAGAAAGAAGAGGAAAGCGAAAAGGAGAAAAACAACGAGGAGGGGGAAGAGGAGAAGGAAGATGACGAGGACACAAAGGAAGCAGATAAGGAGGGCGGAAAAAAGAAGGGTACTAGAGATGTTGAATGGGATGAAGGAGCGGAAAGTGGTAAAGGGTCGGTAGCTAGAGGGGAGGAAAGATGGGAGGAAGGTGAGATGGAGAAGGTACACGAAAGGAAGGATGGAGGGAGTCCCACGGTGGAAAAGGTCGGGAGGGAGGTATCAAAGGAGGAGGCTCAAAAGGGCCAGGTGAAAGAACGCAGGGCGGATGAGGCGGGACTACTGAAGGAAAGTTTAGAGGCAATTTCGCCCCCGCCCATGCGTCCGGAACTTCAGCCCCTGGGAAACTTTACGGTCTATAATAACAACTCTTTCATTTCCGAAGACATTGACCAACCAGACAGGCCCAAGTTTGAAATGGATAAAGATGTCCAGGAAAATTCATGGAAACTAGCTGATATCTTTCCGTTTCAGAAAGTGGGTAATCAACAGCTACTGCGCGAACTAGGCTTGACCCAGGTGAACGGCTTCTCTCCAGCCAAAAAAACAAAGCGAAACGATGCTACAGCTGGAAGAGCGTCGGGAGAAGAGTCAGGGAGCCCACCAAGAGACCAGCGACTCGAGAAGGACAAAGAAGGGCGAAAGAGACCGAGGTCGTTAAGCCAATCAAGAAGGGAACTATCCCTAGCAGGCCCAATGAAGACAATTACAAAAGCAGATAAAACAAAAGGGCCAATTAAGCAATTTTTGATTCCACTGATCATCTCTGAATCAGCAGTAGGTCTTGTGCTGTTGACAAGGATTACCTCAGAGGATGGACTAGAAATCTCGGCAATCCCAGTAATTGCTGCCCCCTCAAACGAGGAGGCAGTGGAGTTAGCCAAGAGACATGTGATGAATCAGACAGGCTCAGTGGCAGTGCTTCCGTCATTCAAAATGAATAGATATCTTTCACAAAAGCACCAACTCCCCCCGGTGGTCTTCCACATGGCCCTGATGGGTATCCGCACCATCTGCGACAATTTTGAAAAATGGTGTGAACTCGAGGTCCACTGGATTCCCCTCCGGGATTTTCTTACTGGAAATACAGATTCAATAGAAAAACTACAAATGCCAGTAGAAAGATCAGGAGGAGTTCTATTGGAGTGGCTGCGATATACGAACGGGATAGAAAAACTCTGAGGGGTTTGTCTAACCCAAAACCTCAGGATGGTTAGTCACCCAGGGAAAGATGCAATGGAAACAAGAAAGCCCCTGGCTCAACTCAAGGACCAGAGTCGGATCCAAGTTACCGGCAGAACGTCCACTGATGGTACTACAGCCTAAACTACGATTGGCATCATGGAATGTCAGCGGTTTAGGCGATACATCACACAGATACAAACAATCGAGACTTCGGACCTGGATGCACTCAAACAATGTGCATATCTTAGGCATTCAGGAATCCAAGTTAAATACCGGTAAACTTCAGAAATTGGGGTCTTATTGGGATGGCCCCCAAGTCTGGTCCCCTGCAGACGAGACCAAAGGAGGGGTGGCAATCTTAATTAATAAAGACCTAGAGGCGGAAATCCTTGACTCGTATGCAGATTCTGGAGGGAGAATCGCGTTGATTAAACTGCTGATAGGGGAGGAAGAATGGGGCATTGTTTCAGTTTATGCCCCGGAAGAATTAATAGACCGAATTGAATTCCTTGCCAACCTCCCGGCCTTCCTACCCGACACAGAGAACCTAGTGATACTAGGAGACCTCAACACGATACTTATTCCAGGTCTGGACTCATTGTCAGTTTTCCCTCCTAGACAAGATGCCGAATTACTAACTACCTTTCTCGATGCCTATTCTTTAATAGATGTTTTTTGTACTTCAAACCCGAGTTTAAATGGGTTCTCATGGTTTGGAGCCAAACCAGCAGATAACACACCAGCGCCAAGAAGCAGACTTCACTTCATTCTGGCGAGAGGCTCACCATGGAACACCTGATTCTGGTGTGATGTGCTGACAGGCTCAGAATCACTCTCGGATCACCACCCAGTACTGATGGACGCGGTCTCTGCAGAAGTGATACAAAGGGAGAGACCGCCCTTCAGACTGAATGTAAATATGTTGAAAGACGAAGGAATTAAACAATGGGTGACGGACCAAATGACATTATGGAATACCATGAAAGACCTGTTCGAAGACCTGTTGGAATGGGCAGAAGTCGGAATTAATATAATTAGAGTTGCCATGATAAACTTTTCTAGGATGAAATCAGCGAATAGGACGTGGCATGAAGCACGACTCCAAAAGGAAATAGAACAGGCAGAAAGGTTGATGGGGTCTGATCCGTTTTCATACTACTATTGGACTGAAAAGAGGAAAGCGGCTATGATAGAGTTGGAAGAGCTGGAAGTAAAAAAACAAGCCGAATGGCTGGATTGGCTAAAGATTCGAGGAATCATAGGGTATGATCGAATGACTAAATTGTCATTCAGATCACTAATCTTGCGACAAGCCAAATCGCTGATCAAGGAGCTTCGTCATCCATTTACAATAGATCAGGCCCCGGCTTCAGACATGGACTCAATGTGTTCAAATGCCTACGAGTACTTTAAGGATATAATCTCCCCCAGAAGACCGTTCGATACCCTGGACACTGACCTATCAAACATCAACACCTTTTGCAACAGGACCGCAGCCCAGGTCCCGCGTGCAGCGGCCGTGGCATTGGACGAACTATTTACAGTCAAAGAATTAGGCAAGGCGGTAAAGCAAATGGCTTTGGGTCAGTGCCCAGGCCTCGACGGATTACCGGTGGAGCTCTATCTAGCCTGCTGGCCTGCCTTTGGGCCTTTTTTGTGTGACATATTAATAATGTGAGGCTAACAGGCAGACTATCGGAGAACCTTTTAAAAGGGGTTATATCGCTTCTATATAAAAAAGGGGACAAGGCGAAAGTAAAGAACTATAGATCAATATCGGTTTTGAATGTAACATACAAAATATTGGCTAAGGCTTATGCAAGTAGACTTGCAGAGGTACTCCCCCTTGTAGTTGGACAAGAACAGGGGACCTTCGTGAAGGGAAGGTCAATATTCGAAAATATAATGACCACCCTTCAAGCCCTTGAAATAATATCTAAAGAGAGGAGGGAAGTGGCAGTCCTCGTTCTCGACATGGAAAAGGCGTATGACAAGGTGGGGTGGACTTTTGTCCTAACCACCTTATCGAAAATGGGCTTTGGCCCCCAATTTCACAACAATGTTAAAGCAATGTATTCACAGGCAAGATCAGTGGTAATTATTAATGGTCGTCTGTCAGAAGACTTTCAGCTGACTCGGTCTCTACGTCAGGGCTGCCCCCTGGCTCCGTTATTATTTGTGCTTCAATTAGAAATTCTACTCAACAACATTCGTCACAACCCGAAAACTAATGGACTAAAAATCTCCCCTTCCATTCACTGGAAGGCGGGAGCGAATGCTGATGATCTAACAATTGCCAGCGAAAATTCAGTTCCGGCCTTCACAGAGCTTAGGACCGTATTAGATGAGTACTGCCAGCTGTCAGAGACATCAATAAACTGGGACAAATCCACATACTTTCTACCCCCCCCCCCCCCCCCCTCCCTATGAGATCTGTGCCGAGTGGGGCTTGAAACAGGTACCAGAAGGATCATCTGAATGCTTCCTAGGAGTGTAAGTGTCACTAACATATTGCTCTGCAAGACACAAGACAGATTACTCCAGGAGAAGGTTTGTGCCAAATCATGGGGTGGATTAGAAACCACAAGCTCTCACTATTTGGGAGGGCGTTGGTATTATATGAGGCCACTGTCTCTTTGCTGTGGTTCCCCTCGACGGTACATTAGTTAGGCGATGGGACGTACACAGCAATAAAGAAGGTGGCATCAAGATATGCATGGAAACCCGCGGCCATAGAGGACCAAGGATTTATAGTGAGGGTGGCATGGGACTCTATCACCTTCCCCAAAACCGAAGGTGGGTTCCAAGATACCAAAACATTGCCTTATTGGGAAAATGGATGATTAAGGCATTGATGGAGAACAATGAACAGAAGATTTGGATCAAGATGGCGGATTATATCTTCAAGAGGGACTGGGAACTTATTGAAGGAGAGCAGGTTTGGGCATGCTTGGTGCAAACAGACATGGGGGGGAGGAGGAGAGTTAAATCTAAAATTTGGACTGCGATCCTGAGGGCATGGAATAAGATTAGACCCATGCCTCTGAAGGAACCTTCCTCTAAGCTGGACGTAGCTAACCAAGCTCTTTTTGATAATGAGTTACTTAAGTCAGTGGCAGGCACCCCCTTCCACACAAGTGAAAAGGGAGGAAGCTTCACCAAGCATGAATAGAAAAGGGAATCGTACAGGTTAAACATTTATGGGATGAGGGAAATCAATCTTGGTTGACCAATGAAGACATCAGAAAAAGACTCCCCCAACTGCGGGCAGTTCAGGAGAACTTAACCGCAATTATGGAGGCTATCCCCAGACAGTGGGACTGTGAGAGGGCTTACTGAAGCAGGACTTAGAACAAGGACAAGGTACTTGGCTCGTGGACCCAGCAGCAGCAAGAGTGGAGGAGGTACTGAAGGTGTTAGGCCCAGTATGTGACGCGCAACCTCACGCCCTGTGCTGTCTTTCGTTCGGAGTGTTAGGCGTGCGGAAAGAGGCCCAGAAAAACAGCCAGATGGGGTGTGCCAAGGATTTTTGGAAATTGAGTGTGGGAACACAGATGGAACTGAAGTCCCCCGTGTTGGTCCAATGAAGCAAGTCGATTGCTTTCGCGCGTCGCGAAATGCGCGCGCGGGCACCGCACGAAAAGAGAAAAATCCAAATTCAATCCAAAAAGTATTGTCGGGCTTCCCACCGGGCTACAGCCCGTCGTCCAGAACGGAAAGGCTTTGGCACGCTCCGCGTGTCTCGTTTTCGTATCAAATCTCGTCGTCGTTCGATAGTCAGTTCCGAGTCCGACGTGGATGGTCTCAGCCGCGTGGCTCTTTCTTTATGCTCGTCTTCACTCCTCACACGGTAGTGGAAGCCCCTGGATTCGTAGCGCTCAAAACGCTGGCATTCGGTGCATAGAGTGCGCGGCCAGTGGGGTTCTACTGCCGTCCACGGGATGACGATCAACTCGTTGAATGGCAACAATATCGAGTAAGGTGGGAAGTGTGTAT